ATTTGGAAATTTGTGGAATTTCTCCCTCTTTTCTAGCTTTCATCTTTGGGGTTGGTTAGCGCTTATTAGGGATGTTCATAAGAAGACCCAAACTGACCAACCCGGTCTGACCCAACCCGAGTTGGCCAGGTTTTCTTTAGCGTCAATCGGTTTCGGGTTACTAAAAAGTATAAACTGATGGGTCGGTTCGGTTTCGGTTTTCATGACCTAGTTCCTAGTTAGTACTTAGTAGTTAGTACCTAACCTAGTTTCTACTTTCTAATTACTTATAGTTTCTACTTTCTATTCTTCTCTTTAGGAATGCCATTAATAGCTTCTTGCATTTTTTTTTGGAAGGTTTAAAGAAAGGATCCTATTCTCTAAGGTCATTTACACCAAATAGGTAATTACAATTAGGTGTCATTTTTACTTAGATTAGAAGCCTTCTTAAAAATTTCAAATTTCAGTCTTCTTTTTCTAATACAATTTGACTTTTTCTTTTCTTGGTAACTTCTAACTTAGTCTGCCCTTATTCCCTTAGCCCCTCAACTCAAGCACTCAAACTGACCCAAACCAACCAAGTTGGTTTTGACTTAAGGTCGGTTTCGATTTCATTTTCAGGCAACCTGACCATATCAAATTGGTTGAAAAAACAGTAATAAACCGACCCAACCCAACCCGTGAACAGCCTTAGCACTTATCAGGATTATATATATTATATAGGGCCCATTGGCATTCGCATTTGACAGGGCAGAAAGTCTGCCCTTATGGTGTTTGAACCCGCACCTCATATGAAACAAAGAACACGACTAACCAACCTGACCCGATAATGCTGCAAACGGCTTGAATCAGATTGGATATGGGTGAATTTATATTCAATTCAATTACAAACAGTTGAATTTGAATCACCCTTAATAGGATTTAATTCAAATTTGAATTCAGACAAATGGGATACTGCTTGCAGCCCTAAAACCCAACCTATTGAGTTATCAAAGCAATTCTGCCCTATTCCAAACAGAGCCTGAACCCGAAAGATAAGGGGTAATAATTTCTAATCACAAGTTCAAAACAAAGAGTTCAAAAATGACGAAGCATCACCTTAGACCCATGGTGAGGCTGATAATTCTTCCATTAAGATCTCCGTCCAAAGCACATAAAGACATGCGCAAATGAGATCTTATGGTGCGTGATCTAGATGCTATTAACTGGAAGGCAGTTCGGATATTAGTTGCTTAGCTAGTCGGTCAAACTATAAGGAAACAAGGATCAGAGGATCCGGGGTGGCTTACCCGGTGTGGTCGCTTCAATGCTTAAGTTAGTACTTAATGTGTACGAGCTAAAACCTTGATAGCAAGTAGGCTAGTGAACAATAAATCGTGCATATCTTGTGTCACTGGGGTAGATGCCCTTATATAGGTGAGCTGCCGTGGAACTCACGAAACACCTCCGAGATCCTCGGCCCGTGGTATTAAGAGTTTGTCCCGTACTAGAAAGTGGAGTTCATGATATCCGATAAGGCTTATCGAGTCCGTTCAATCCAGGTGGGATATGGATAAGTCTTACAATCATGCGGCATGATCCCGAAGAACTCGAAAACAGTTGGCTTGCTTCTAGAAGTCTACTACATGTCACATCGACAGATCGGGCCATGGCGAGCTACTCGGTCTTAGACGAGATACCCGAAGTGACCTGTCCTGCTGAGGTAGCAAGGAGTGCCTTGTCAACGTCTTGTCAGCTGATTGTGTCCACATGTTTGAACGCAAGCTGAATTTCCATCCGTGTTGTAATATGTTGCTCTTTTGGGGAGACGTGTAAAAGTAAGGGGAGGTGGGTTAATACTCCTGTTATTTCTTTTTTTTCAAACAAAAAAAAAAAACATTTATCTTTTAATCCCCACCCTTAAAGTCTATGAAATTTTACCTTGTCCAAAACCTTTTGCCCACATCTAAAAGTTCAAAGAGAGAAAACAACCAGTTCATGTCTTCCATCCGATGAACAGAAAGAACATAGAATCTATTAAAACACTTCTCTTCCAACATTCTTGAAATCCTTTACTGCTCAGGTATTTATTTCTCCAATTATTTATCTACCAATTGAAAAGTTGATCCCTTTATTGTTCAAAATCTTCCTCCCAAAAAATGGTTATTATGGCTCACTCTAAAATCACATAGCTTTATTATACGGTATTAATTAGACCAAGCAACTATAAGGCTTTGATTGTCTTTGAAGATCTCTGAAATCTCATAGAAGTTTTACCCTGTTCAAAATCTCATAAAAGTTTTTTTTTCAAGCAACTATTTATGAAATTTTTACCCTGTTCAAAACCTTCCACCCTAAAAGTCTAAAACCCATTCAAAAAATAATTTTCACCCTATTTAAATCCGTTCACCCAAGAACCTAGAGAGAGAGAGGGAGAGGGAGAGAGAGAATAATCAGTCTATGTCTTCCATCCGTGTTGTAACATGTCGCTCATGTAAAGGTAACAGAAGGCGGGTTAAGGGATAAAAAAAGGAAGATCCCCATCCCCCACCACGAGCTATAGGCCATAGCCTATAGCTTGTTTATGCCACTTGGAGGAATGTTGTGCCGATTCCAAACTATATTATTCATAGGATAAGAGATTGATTCTTTGGATCCCATCAGCCAGAGCCAAGTATTCAACCCCCACCTAGGGGTGGCAATTGGGCGGGTTGGGTTGGGTTTGGTTTGGATTGAGTTTTAACCCAAATCATCTAATTCGTTAACTCATTAATGACTCAGTTATATAAAATTAAATGGATTGGGTTCAACCCAAACTCGTTTTAACCCAATTCAACCCACCCAAACCCATTAATCTTATATTTATTATCTTAAAAAACAAACTCTTTCTCTCTTAACAAATAAGTTAGTTGTAACTTTGTGGTTATTGTAGTTATTATTTATATAAGTGGTGAATGTTCAAATCACATTACATGCATGTTATTTTTACACAACAGATAAGCCATTTGACTATGTTCGGATTCTGAGTTTGACTGAACCACTTAGGTTCAAACCGGTCAGACCAACTTAAACCACTTAGGTTCAAGGGTGGTTTAACTATTTATATCTAAATCAATTCAGTCGGACCAGACCGGACCGGTTCAGTCAATGGTGGATTGACTTGGACCGAACCATATCATGTTTGTGCACGAGTTCAGGACCGGACCGGTTGATCCGAACCGGGTCAATGTAGCTAAATCGGGTTGGTCCAAATTAGGGTCCGCCGTGTGGACATTGGTCGGATGGGCGGTCCAGATCGGGCAAAGCACGCAAAGGCCAAATCATCCCGCCCAAAACCGCTTCTGGTTCAGGTTGAGCTGGATCGCCTTGTACCGGGTCGGGTCAGGTCGGAGTGTGAATATTGGTTGGACCGGACAGCCCGAATTGGACAGAGCAAGTGGCACCAAACCATCCCACCCAGGGTCTATTTCAGATTCGGGTCAACCCAGATCAGTATGTGTTGGATCAAGTCAGACTGCATTGAACTGGCTCGGACACGGGTCAAATTGATTTGGATTTATGTTTGGTGAAGTGTATTGATTCAAGACAAAACTAAATTTAGTCAATTATTAATAGAAAATTAATACATTGATTATAAATTATTTAATTCAAAAGAAGAAAATTAAAAAAAAAAAGCTATGAATTAATACTTATGTTTATAATGGTTAATCCAATGATTATTCACAATCCAACCTACCCTAAATGGGTGGATTAGGTGATGGGTTGATCACACAACCCGCCAAGTAAATAAACGGGTTGAATGGGTTAGATACCAGGTGGATTGGGCGAATTCAACAAATTGGGTTAAAAATTGCCACCTCTACCCCCACCTGACTTTAATTGCCGTAAAACCATAACTTTGGTCAGAGTTGTGTTTTGGGACTCGACTAGAATGCTACCATCAAAATTATAGAAGATAGCATGTTCTTAGAAAAATAGAAATTGGCACAGGGAGGAGCTAAAGTTTGTGTTGTGTCATGTAGGACGAGGAATATAAATGACCCAGCTGCTGATTTTTGTCTGACGACAATCAGTGGAATAAATGGCTGCCATGGAACAATGGATTCCGGATCTGCTGACCACAACACATTCCTGCCCCGAACTCCGAACAATGCATACCAGTGAATCATTCCTGTAGCTTAAATGAACATTTGATTTTATTCAAATTCCAATCTGCCGAGTCAAGAATAGGATTTACTTGAACACACATAATAACACCCCAAGCAGGACCAACAACAATCATCAATCAGCTAGCCTAGACGACTGGACCTGTAGTGAATTGAAGAGTTGACTCAAGATTTGGATGGGAGACAATTTGGCAAACACAAAACACATAGTACCATGTTCCTTTGGGTCTAGTATCACTTTGGTCCCCAAACTTTAAAATGCGACAATTCAACACCCGATCTTTCAAAATGTGACAATCCAACACCTTCTGTTAACTAACACTTAATCAGCCATTAAGCGACATTTTAAAAAGACATAAATACCCTTCAAGTGTCATCTAATTTTCTTTATCAACTATCCAAATATTGACCAAACAAAAATAATAGTCCCAAATCATTGCCTCTTCTATTCAAAAAAACCGTGATCACTAGAATGCCCACTTAAACGTATCCTCAACTTTCTTGAATGGAAGAAGCAAGGATTTGGGACTGTTAATTTTTCGTCAATGTTTATATGGTTGATAAAGAAAATTAAATGACACTCAAAGGGTATTTGTATCCTTTTCAAATGTCACATAATGACATGTTAACTGCTGATTAATGGCAGGTACTAGATTGTCACATTTTGAAACCTCGGGTACTGAATTGTCGCATTTTAAAATTCAGGGACCAAAGTGACACTAGGCACAAAGTACAGGATACTAATTAGGAATTTTCCCAATAAAAATTTCCTCCCGATTTACAAACCAACCGATCGGTTAAGTGTAAGCTATCACTAACAAGAAAATGTAACAAAAATAAATAAAAAAAGGCAGGAAAAAGAACAGAAAAATGATATGCCAGAGGATAATCCGTAGTAGGCGATTACATTCATGATTTACCCAAATATGATCCATTCTTAAAATAACAGTGCCCATAAGACGATTAGTTGTGTAAGCTTCCTGTTCGGAAGCTATCGAACATACACTTCACTTCTCATAGCAAAAAGATGTAAAGCAAGTATATAGAAGGAAAAAAATAAAAATAAAAAATACAACCAAAGACCTAGGCACTACCTTCTGCAAATTGACTGCTTTGGAGAGATTGGGAAAGTACTTCCCATAGGGGTAATCTTGTAATGCAAATACTGAGAATGGGCAGATTTTCCTTTGTCCTCTGTTAGATCTGACCTTCATCCGGTCCTTGTATTCAGTTGCTTATTCATGCTCACCTGTCTGAGTCCTTCCTCACCTCTCTCAGTCAATCTTAACGGAGGAGTAGATCTTCCGGACAAACCAGAGACATGCATAGAAACCAATTGTGCCAGTCAAAACAAAGAATGCATATGACACAATTAACATATACCCAAAGTAAAGGATGCCTGACACCAGCTTTGTTATTTCCAATTTAGTGAAGAAGTAGAAGATCGAGTAGAGGAAGAGGTAGAGGGCAGAAGATCCAGCAGTCAGATAAGCCCTCCACCACCAATGGTAATCTTCGCTGCACAACTGGAAGTAGCAAAGCACAACCGTGATCTCAGCACAAGTGATGATAAGGATAATGAAGACAATGAAGAGAAACCCAAAGATGTAGTAGAACTGGTTCAACCATATGGATGTCAAGATGAAGAAGAGTTCAATAAAGACAGCCCCAAAGGGAAGTATGCCTCCAATGAGTATAGAGAAGACAGGTTTCATGTACCATGCCTGCTCTGGTATCTGCCTCGGAATCTTGTTTGTCTTCACGGGATCCTCAGCAACTTGTTTTTTGAAACCCAAGTAACTACCCACGAAAACCAATGGCACTGATATGCCAAACCACAAGAAAACAAGAGCAAACATGGTTCCAAATGGCACTGCTCCTGAAGACTGCTCCCCCCAGATTAAGGCATTCAGCACAAAGAAGATGGAGAAAAGTATAGCAGGGAACATGAAGGCAGTTTTCAAGGTGTTTCTTTTCCACTCCGTGCCTTTGAACATCTTATACAAACGAGCTGAAGAGTAGCCCCCAAATAAACCCATGAAAACCCACAAGAGAACCATAGCAGTCATCAGACCCCCTCGGTTGGAAGGTGATAGGAAACCTAACAATGCAAACATCATTGTAACAAGTGTCATCCAAAAGATTTGAACCCCTGTCCCAACGTAAACACAGAGTAAGCTGAAATTAATTGGAGGCCTGAAAGCATCTCCATGGACAAGTTTCCATCCTGTTTCTTCTTGTGCTTCATCCTGTGTCTCCAACTGATTGTAGTTGGCAATATCTCTATACAGAGTTCTCATCATAATCATGGCCACCATGCCAGATAGAAAGAGGACAATCATCAGAGAGTTTATTATGGAGAACCAGTGTATCTGATCATCATTCATGAGTAGGTAGGTGTCCCAACGAGAAGCCCATTTAACATCACTAGGCTGCAGAAAGACCAAAGCATGTAAGAAACTGAATAAATGGTCTTCAGAGAGGGGGTGGAGAGAAAGAGAGGTACCTTAAAAGAAACATCATATGTGAATACAATCTCTTTGTCCACATCAACCTCCTGTGGGACAGTACTGCCTTGAATCAATTTGGTACCTGGGTTGCATGTTAAGAGCTGGGGATTCTTCTCATCCCACTCCTTGTACTCATGATTAATACTGTTTGCAGGAGAAAAAAGTCAGGAGACAAAATGAATGACATGGATCCACAAGATAAATAATTTACATTAATCTGGCAGTTAGTACTCTTAGCAAAAGTTTCAAGAGAGTATGTCTATAAATATATTTTTATTAGTGTATGTCTAAAAATATTTTAAATTATTTACATAATTTATAATTATCTATCTTTTTTTGAAAAAGGTAAAGCAAGATTGTATTATCAGAAACAATATAAATTATCTGTCATTGTGTCCTGTGTTGATTTCAAGACATTGACATGCTGAACACCAATCAAATAGCAAGGAGAACCAGATGAACCAATTAAGGTAATCAGGCTGTGTGGCAACACCTAGTTCCACTGCTCCAGAGAGAAAATTTAAGAATCAATAGCACAAAAAGTTCAAATGAAAAGGGTTTCAAAGCAGAGACTTGATTGGATTGCTAATGCAGTGTTGTAACTTATAATATTTACTTCACAAATCTGTGATAAAGAAATAACACGTTTAACTTCTCATTAAGAATGAAAGCACATCAATGATAGGAACAGTTGATAAACCCTCAACAGAAAGACATGAGAGAGAGAGAGAGAACCAACTTAAATCAGCCAACATTATAGTCACAGCATCTAGATGAGACCCAGGTTTTTTGTCTTATCAAATTTCAATGCAAGTTGCCGCCTGGGAGTCAACTAGAAAATAGATATCTATTAAGTTAAGAGAGGTAATACAAAGCTATAAATTGTTATGTAAATAAATGACAGAAACATGGATATAAGATTCAATCTAGAAAAACAAACATGCTAATTTCCTATAATAACTTGGCCCTTCCCTATCTCTATAACAATATAATGTGGCCCTTCCCCCTTATGACCTGTCAATTAAACCCTCGACAGTTGATAGATTTATACACCAATACAATTATTTATTGAAAAAATATAACAACAAATTTTTTATAAATATTTTAACAAAAGATATTTATCACCAATCAACAATATATTTAAAAAGGGTCTTTAATCTTTGTGTGAATAAAATTTTATGAATAACATGGGATGTTTTCATCTATCAAAAAAAAAAAAAAACACAGGGGATTGTTTCAAAACAAGCAACTCCATAATTGATAGGGCCCTGATTGATGATCAAAGAATTTGCACTTTCTTCCATACAAAATTTTCACAGACAAGTTAAACTACATGTTTAATCTAATCCACAACCACGAGCAGCATTTTTTTTCCTGGGAGCTGCCACCATGTCAAAAGATATCAATGAGGAAGACACACAACCCAGAAACATCAAATATTATCCGTAACAAAGCAGCTACAGTGATCATAAATTCACAATTAACGATAAATATTGCCAAAAAACAAAATTAATAATAGGTGATTTAATGTCAGAAAAACAAAACAAAACAAAACAGCACCTGTTGGGTGTAACCTCAAATCCAACAATGCGTGCTAAATCAGTTTCAGGGTCCTTGTGATACATGACTCTGAAGCTCAGGTGGTTATTTATAAAATGTTTCTCATCTTTGCTCTGCAAAAGCATATTAGCAATGTGAACTAAAACAGAAACACTAGCATTATGCATGGAGAAACACCAAGTGCAACTTACACCAGCATAGCTTCCCTTGAACCCAACACGAAATCCATGTTCATAAGCTGTAGCTTGAGTCCCATCTCTCCTTTGTCGGAGAACTGCAACAGGAAGGTTATCCAAAATCCTGCTCATCCATCAAGGAAATATCAGACGAGTAAAACATGGATGGACATCAATATATTGAGGTCATACTACCAAGAAAGAAAAGAGGAGCAATAGGACCTTTTTTTTTATAGATAGGAGCAAATAGGACCATATTGTATTATGAACTTCAGCAAATGAACTCAAGTACTACAATTATCAAATATAATTACAACTTAAGAGGTAAAAGATAGGGCTCAAACTTGGTAAACTAACATGTTCACTCGATATTCATCATTAATTTTCTCCTTAAAATTCTTTGCGGCAGCAGCATCAAGCTTTACTCGACAGGCTACTTTACAGGACGACTCCTCTCTCATTTTGAACTGGAGCATACAAGATATGTACAGACCCACAAGAAAATGTTAGAGCTTGAAAGCAAAAAGGTATACATTCTAAGGCAAAATTCCTTTCCTATTGTCAGGTGCAAATAGAATTAATGACTTTTCAGAGTGAAGATAAGACAGCAAAGAAAGGGAAAAAAATTAAAAGGCTTTACCGTATAAATAGAATTCTCAATGCGATCACCACGAAGAACCTCTCCCAAATTTTCTGCGCTATTCATAATCTTTTTAGGCTTACAATACTTCAGAAAATAGTAATCATAAGGAAGTTGTGTTTTTGTCGATGACAGCTTGTTCACTTTAACTTGAAGGGGATCACCCTGTGCAGAAGAAGGATTAAACCAAGATTATTAACTGATTATAAATTAATTCAAACAAGAACAAGCTACATCTTTTTTTTAAAAAAAAAAAAAAAAGAACAAACTATACTTGCATGAGTTTAAATTTCTATTTTGTAAATGAGTAATTTCATGCTGCATTGTCCCAACAAACAAAATAGCATAAGCATTAAAAAAATGCTGAAACCAAAGTTTGTGCATTTTGCAAATCAATTTCTTGCTTTTCCATAGCAACAAATCAGATCCCATTAGAGTAGAAACCAAGTCACTAAAATTATAAAATCTTGCCAACCAAATATGTTAACAAAACAAACATAAGATGATTAGATTACTCGGATAGCCACTAAAGAACCCCCTGTGCCAACCCCAGGTGATTATATTACTCCATATTCCAAGTGATTGGAGTATTTATAGATTCAAATAGGTCCCCTATCTAGTCCATCAATGGACAGATATGAGATGCCAATGCAGTTAAAGCTAAAGTTCCGGCATTGTTGACCATTCCAATCCTAGCTCCCTTGGAAATCCTAACCAGATGTGATTATATTACTCCACATTCCAATGCTAGCTCCCTTGGAAATCCTAACCAGATGTGATTGGAGGAGTATTTATAGATTCAAATAGGTCCCCTATCTAGTCCGTCAATGGACAGATATGAAATGCCAATGCAGTTAAAGCTAAAGTTCCGGCATTGCTGACCATTCCAAGGATTGTACCATCCATTGCTATTGATATTTGAGAATTTAGATTGCATCTGATGTCACCAGATGCACTAGTAAGGTTTATTCTGGTACAAAGAAATTAGTTCATTACCTGAACAAGATTAGAAAAACCTGAAGCCATGCCCAACCACCCTAACTTGAATTTCAAAAGAGCTGAATGCCATAGTGCTCACAGGAATGAGGAGGATCCCATTGTACAGTGAAAGCCATTACTAACTATTTCTTGAGGATTGGGCTTCAACTACATATTATGTGCATCTTGTACGTCCATTCATGTATACCCTTTTGTCTTCTCATTAATGCAAATAAACAATTTAGCCCGCCCAATTAGGGAAAATGACATTTTGAATTGCCAATTTTACTAATCAAATTTTGAATGTTTATGATCATTGCATGAAGTGGAGTAAGTTATACTCTCTGAATTCCAGAAATCCGCTGTATGAAGACGTTTTCTTTTATATGATCATAAAAAAGGACCATTAATTGTAACAAAAATTTGCACCATGATAAGTATGCCAAATAATTTAAGGTTCCATCTGGCATGGAACTAAGATACCAAGGAACACTTGTTTATGAAATACACCGAAAACAGAGAAGTAGTAGTAATGTGATTATCAAGAAGGCAACTCAGCGCAGGTTAAAATGCCAGAAAACAACTGAATGGTTCCATAATAACAACCAAATTCCAAAGACGACTTAATCGAAGCTAATTCATCGTTTCATGAAAGAAGCTCTAAAGTATAAGATCCAATTGTTTAAAAAAAATGAAAGCTTAAGCCCCTTAAGTTGAAATCTGCTACAGGATCGGTACACTCAGATCCAATCAAAGATCTGCCTGTCTATTCCATTTCTTCACCATTCGGTTAAAAAATCCATTAAAGAAAGAAAAAGAACGCAACTTCAAAAATTCCAGATCCAGAAACGAGACCAGAAGTGACAAACATCGAAACCCAGTTATTAAAACGCAAAACCCTAGATCCAAAACCAACAGAAGCATAGACCCACATACCCAATGAACGGAAGGGTTAAAACAGACCATCAAACATGGGAAGCAAGCAAGAAAGTGAACAGGCAGTAATCAATCAAAGATCTGGAAAGCACAACACAAATCAGTTAGATTTAAGTGGGTAATATGTAATCAGAGAACATACCTTTGAGAAATCGCGAGGCGCTACACCTGGGAGATAAAACGAATACGCAGAAGGTATGATGAGGAGATGGGCGAGGAAGAGGGTGGCGATCCAAATGGAGCTACCCATCATGTGTATGGGAAACACAGACAGCGAACCAGAGGGAGGGGGAGAGAGAGAGAAAGGAGAAACCGACGAGAGTTGGGGAAAAATAGAGCCTGCCCTCTTTAGTGTGTTCCGGAGTCTCTCTCCTCTGATGGAAACTTGAGATATGTGAAGTCAGTTAATAGACATGGTGTTAACCTTCTAAGCTTAGCTCCTTATCAAATTTGTTTCACATTAGCGGTAAAGGTTAACAACAGACATAGTCCATAGACCATACCATAGACTGGACATAGAGAGAGTTTGGCCTTGGCAAAATGGCAACCCCGACCCGACCCGTCCTCCTCCGCTCCTTATGGGCTTTGGCCTTTGGGTTTGATTTCATTTTGAATATTCATTTGATGACAGACCCGAGCAACTGAGCAAGGATCATGGACTTCATGCAACCGGTGGGCCACCCTCTCACAACAAATCAGTGAGCAAGGATCACGGTTGAGATCAGCACCAGTATGGAGATATTCTCAATGCAAGGCAGTAAAGGGTGCTCGAACAAGCTTTGGCCTGACCCCTGAGTGAAGTCGAACTCCATATTACAAGATGTGATTTTGTTTGACCATCCTAAGTTCCAAATTCCAAATTCCAAGTTGAAGCTCTAGCCTCCTCTATGGTCTATGGAGTATAGAGCATATATCAGACGGAAATGTGGGACTCGTCACCTAACTCATCCATTCGAATTCGATGGTAAGATAAGTTGGGAACGACTATTTCCTTCCAAAAATAACAAATTTTTCTTCTTTTCTCAAAATGGCTACACAACGGGTCAACGGGGTAGCCCATCCCCCAATTCCAGAACCCAACCAAGGTGCACAGGCGGGACTGGATCCCAAAGTCTCCACTAGAAGATCTTATCTAGGCAATTTTTTTCAAAGGCACTAATTAGACAGTTAACACCTTTTTTCTTAAAAAAAAAATATCGTACATAGAAAATGAAAAACCAACAAAATTAAATAAAAATACTCACGAGATCGTATCAGTTCAAGGGGTCGAGGAGCCTTAAACCGGTCTCCTGAACCGATTTTGAAAAAAGTAAAATAAAAATAAAGAAAAAAAAATCGATACTGCTTGATACACCCCTACCTGCATATCGGACATATCGATATTTAGAACCTTGCCCCCCCCCCCCTAACTTTTACTTTTGACAAATAACCACTGAACTTTCGGATTCCAACTTTTTCTCTCTTGCCGTTAACCGAATAGACAGAGAAAGTTAATTTATTAAAGAGAAAATCTATGATGCCAAAAAGGATTTCAGATCTATTCTTTACAATACATCTCAACCACACATCAAGAACATCTGTATGTTGTTATTCGTGGGAGATATTCCCAACAGAGTGAATGAAGTGTTGTTGAATTTAAAATTTCAAGAGGGTTTATGTCATAAATAAAAAGTTGGAGGATGCTAAGTGCCTCAACCCAAAGTACAAGGTGCTAACCCCTGTAATTTACCCAAAAATAAATAAATAAGAGAACCGTTCTGTGTACGCTGATTTTGGATCTATCGCATCCTGGTCACCATTCAATTTGTTTTGTAGTGTCGTAGTCATTGATTAGAAGGACGAAAACAAACTTATATTTGGGCCCGCACAAAGTCCATATGTTCAATAATGAAAGGAACATGCGCCCAAGCTTCCTTCTACTTGCAAGGAGGCCCATCCCATTATATGAATACGGGAATTCCTGAACGAAATAAAAAATCGTGTTGACTCAGAGAACAGCACCCAGCCGTACATTGGAGACATCTCCCCAATGAATGAATTTTCAATGTGCAGTGCAGCTGGATACTTGGAAGAGAAGTATCAAAGTCCAAAACACACAAGCTTCCATAGCATGAATGAAGGGCATCCTTGAGGAAGAAAAAAGGTAAATCAAATCAAAATGCTAATAAACAAATAATATACCTCCTCGGACATGATAATGGAACATACACTTCAGTTCATCGTCACCAGACTCACCACTCACCATCACCAAGCGCAACCTATTAAAGCATTAATGTCATTATCTATTCTCTTAGGCAGGGAAGGCATTAATACATTGTATGAAGAAGACTGGATCTGGATCACATCGACTGTGTTAATTGAATTGAAGCTCCAAAGCTTTCGGTACCCCATGGCAAAATAAATGCCCCATTAGTCTCAAGACTTTGCTGAGCACGACAGTATGTGCGATTTGAACTTCTCAAGCTCAGCCAAAACCTCCTCTTCTGGCCTGTAAATCAGATCACTCATGCGCCATATCTGCATAAAACAGTATCAAATGAGTGAATTACTAAGCAGACTGCTTGAGGCTGAAGCCTGGATGATGAGAACTCAAGTGTGGAGAAATGCAAACCAACACAAATGTCATATGTTTAATACTTACCAACCCTACCCGGATGTTTCTATTTAGGGGATATATATATATTCCATGTCTAAAATCTAAATAATGATGCATTATTTCGTACAGTGTAATTCAATTTGCATTTTAAAGTTTTTTTTCACCTCTCCACTTCACCACAAAGCATGAGTCCATCAAAAAATATAGATATTGTCCATGCTGACATGCAACCATGCCTAGCGGCTGAGTTTAGGATTAACATTTTTTTTTAGATCAATGAGTTTTAGGATTAACAATTTGCAAATGAAAAGTATAAAATCAAGCAAAAAAGAAAAAGAAAAATAAAAACATTACCTGTAATGTTCCACCACCCCCAGTACTTTCACAATCATCAGAAACACTAACAATTGTCCAAGGATCAGTTGCATTCCAATGAAAATCAACCACTTTATCCCTATAATACATGTAAAGGAATTTGTTTTTTACATAATAATTATTAACAAAGATATAGAAAAAAAAAGGTAAGTCAAAAATAATTGATTGCCATGATCCAACTCCCATAAGATGGACAAAATAAAATCAAACTAAGAAAAATAACCACATTAAGAACCATGGGACGCAGAACTTTTCCACAATAATACCAATTGAAGAGATATCATAAAATCTGAGAGTTAAATAATTTGTAACTAATCAAGGTCTTTGTATGGAGGTCTTCATGTCAGATCAACCACAAAAAAGTCAGCTTCTAATTTGAAAAGTTAACATGATCTCAAAACTAGAGATAAATTCGCATTCACTTCATGCACAAACTCATGTAGCACAATTTCCATATGCTTCCAACACATCCAGAGACCATTATGCAAGTTCTCCTAAAGTCTAAAGTGATAGGGCTTCAAATTTTTCTTTTATTTATGCATAGCTCCAACCATTTCATATTGTAATGTCACTTAACATCACCCAATAAGATGCCTAAAAAACTCCAACCATCCCTTCCTTGCATTTGACCCTCCAATTGATGATTTAATTTTTCCCTGCCACATCTCTTAATCCCTTAGAAATATAATGCAATTACCTATACTAAACAGGAAAGAATGCAGAAGAAATCTCTCACACACTCCAAGTGTGGTAGTGGGCTGGCTAAAGAGCAACAAGCTAGTACTAAAAAATAAAAATAAAAAAAAAAAAAGAGTAAACAGGTTGATTCATGAAACTGTCAGACCACAATAAAGCAGATAAAGGCTTTGGAGAGAAAAATAGGAATCGAAATGCTCATTGATTCATAGATCAGCAAACATTTTGGCAGATGCACTTGGGGTGAATAGGGATCAGCTTTTTAGGGACTGTTGAGGCATTAAATGTAAATCTAATAAGTGGGCTAGGCAGCTGAGGCCAAGCCTATCTTGGGATGTCTTTAGCATGATTATACACAAACCATTTTTAACCGCATCAATAAAGTACTTATGACATATCATTATCCATCAAATTAAAAAAAAAAAAAGGAATCTCCCTTAGATGCTACAGTTCCTATCCTTCCAGGTCTCTCTCGTGGAGCAACTGCTCCTAACCCTCTTGAAAAGGAGATTGTTTTAGAGTTTGATGCACACTCCATTCTCAATCTAGGGCAACCTGGAACCAGAAGAATCTTCGACAAAGGAGACAGCAGCACCTTATACCTTATGGGTCTCTAGTGGTCCCATCAGAGATGTGGACTCTTTCAGAGCAGAAGTGATTACTGTTCTCATGAGGACATTCACTGCTAGGCAGGCCCATATCTCCTCTCTTACTATCACTCAGCAAATATTATTACATGGAGCCAGCCAACAAGTAGTGCCCCAGGGCCACTAGTCTATTATCATACTGAATCAAGGTAAAGCCTACCAAGGTTGAGGATGCAGATTACTGTAAGGCATGAATTCATCCATGTAGCTGTGGTAATATGGGTTGTCTAGGGAGAGAGGAACAACATAGTTGGAAATATGGGGTCTATTGAGGCACAGCAGGGAATAGTGATGTCTCTGTTGAATCCATGGGTTTCAGGCTTTCAGCCTCTGAAGAGTTTAAAGAGATCTCCTTGAACAACCTTAAAAGAGACCCAGTGAGAATCATTCTAGACCTTTGAAGACCTACACCAGGCAGAAGAAAGCGAATCACCAAGTTTGGGTTAGGCAGGATGATATCTTGGAAGTTTGGTGATTTGACCTGTCAGGGTATTTTTGCCATTTTGCCTTATTGGTATCCAGTCAACAGGAGTATTTATCTATTCATTATTTAGTTAAGTTTCAAGTTCCAAAATCATGGGCTCAGTAGATAGAAAGTCATAGATGTTATTATCTTCTACATTTCAGTGACATTTTCGTAATTGCAATGAATAGTGTTTTTGATGAATGATGCAATGAATAGTGTTCGCCCACCACTTCTTACCTACGCATAAATAGTTGTGTTATCATTCAAATAGATGAATAAATAAAAAGGCTTGAAAGTTGATTCCTCTTACATGCTTACTCTATGGAGTGATTCTATTCAAACCCTAGACTGATTCTAGGTCCTCTCGAAGTGATTCATTAGGTTTTCTCTTTCTTCATTCTCTATTATCTAATTCAAAACTTTTAACAATAGCCACCATCTAATATCCAATCAAAACTCAGGTATGGGAGTGTTATAGAATCTGGTTATGAGGTAAACGAGAAATTTCAGAAATTCCAGCCTTTTCTCTCTTTTTTTCCACTTCTCCCTGTAAAGCCCTAGCTGTTTTCCTTCAATATTCAGATCCTTAATCTAGTTAAACCACACTCCATATAACTCCATCACAAATAACCCCAAAATTTCACCCCATATAACCCCACTTCTTCTGTGCTCCTGTATTTTTTTTTCTTACGTTTTTTTAAGAAATATTGTTGGAAACAAAACAGGGGCTTCGCCACCGCCTCCTTCAAATGGCCCTTATTCTGGAATGAAACAGGGGCTCTGTCCCCTTATTTTTCTCCTTTTTCGCTGCATTCAACCTTGTTATTGGCCTGAAACAGGGTCTCTGCCCCTTAAATATAGTCCAAGTCGTCCTCTTATTCATGGATTTTTTTTTTTATTTCTTTAAGAAATTCTTTTTGGGAATAAAACAGAGCCCCCTTACTTTTTCTCTTTTTCTTGCTGCATTTCCTTTTTTGTTGGCCTGAAACAGGTTATTAAACAATGAAATTAATATATTTAAATGGTGTATTTATGATAGCATTTTTATGTTTTTATATGAAATTTATAGTTAGTTACTCATTTGAATGGTTTTATTGCTAATAGGTAGTATACAGGTATGTTGGTTAGTATAAAAAACTAATAAAGTAGCTTAGGAGAAGTACTGATACTTAAATTTTATGATTTCAGATCCCATCACCTAGGCTCACCTAGGCACCTTGACAACTATGATTAAAACCTCCCAGATATTCTTAAATCCTTGCCTAAGAGACCAGCTCATAGACCTCCTACTCATCTCATTCTATTGTCAGGGGTTGTTACTTCAATTCAGTGGGAAGTCTACAAGGCAGTGAGCCTGTTACTCCTGAAGCTACTTCTATTGGGTATAATCTTCCTCAATACAAATAGTGAAATCATTTGGGCTTGCAGAAAACCCATTGGAGATGCTGACTCTACCAAGGCAGAGGTAATAGCTCTCAATCATAACTGGCCCATTCGAGATATGCAAGACAATCAGTGTACATATTATTCTTTCATATCTTTATAATCAAATTTCAACAGTTACCAATCAAAAAAAAAAATTTGAAAGTAGATAATACAGAAGGTATGCATTTCAAACCTGTGCCCTGCATGTTGAAAAAACAAGCCTGGTGGAGAATTTGGCATCCTTGTTCCAAGACGGTCCTTTTTTTTACCAACCTGCAACATGACATTGAGTTCACCTCCTAAATATTGTAATTATGCTACAAGGAAACATGTGAATCAAGTAACAAACTCCATGAGACATGATGTGCAAATTTAGCCAAGACAGTATTTTTCTGATTCAGGAATTATCAATATGTCAGCATTATTAAAACCACTTTGTTTAGATGTGCTCTTTAATGGTTGTTCTGATTCTCTAACCAAAAGAAGACAACAAATAAACAAGAAAAAATAGAAGAAAAAAATGTGTTAAAAAAACCAAAAGCATAGAAACCAACCTTTAAGGCACAATACCATTGCCAAGAATCAGGGGGAAATTTCCTAGAAACGATTTATAACTTACAAGAGGCAACCATCATGATCTGAGCCTTAGGAATGAATTATAAGAGGTAACCATCATGATCTGAGCCTTAAACATGTCATTATTGTGTTGATCAATTTCTGATATTTCGTTTTTCTATCTAACAAAAGAACTGAATAGGAAGAAAGACATTTTAGAGTGGCCACATAAAAATCTCTCATGTTGCCCTTTAACAAATATGGAAAATCTTGGAGCAGGGATATGCCTGATACAATTTGTTTGCCTTTAAATAATGCCTAAGATGCTAATTCTTTGAATAAATTTCTCATAGGCTTCCAAAGAGCTTTACCAATAACTAATGAGTGAGACAATCATGGGATGAAAAATTGATAGAACATCCATACCTTCTCATGATCCCAAACATTTAAGAAACCATCCTCTGCAGAACTGCCAAAGACAGATGCCTTGTCGGGAGACCACTGGGACATGAATAAAAAACGCATGTTCAGGAAAGAGTAAACTCCAACCAACCTTGAAAATATATTGATCTTAAACTGGGAATTAGAAAGGAGTTTAAGGGCAGAAAAAAAAAAAGAAAGGAGTTTGAGAACAAAAAAGATGAACTAAGAGTATCATCCCATACCTGAACACAAAGAACAGCAGCTTTATGGCCTTCAAATTTATAGACAGGTGACCCCACACCACCAGTAGTCAGGTTTCTCCGATCAAACATACGAACAGAATTATCAGCTGACCTGAAAAGATAACAGTGGCAAAAGAAAATAAGTTGCCCCTAAAAGCAGAGTATCCCAGTCCACGAAACAGGTAGTCCAAGATAGCACAGAATGTTAAACAAGCATGTGCACATTTGTTGACATTTCACAAATCCAGTTGGAAAACCATAAGATTCAGATTGTGTGCATACCCGGTTAGAATAAGGTTTTCATCATGCGGATTCCAATCAACACAGTGCAGATCAGCATTATGAGCTTTCTCGACCTGCCACCAAAGCAAACAGCAACCAGCAGAATATAATCACAAAAGGACAAGTTTCTGCCTGATAAGAAAAAAAAAATGCTCATAGCAAGCATATGCATTTCTGAACCAGTTATTTGCACCTTAAAGAAAATGAGAAATTAACAGAAAGAATGGCATATAAATGGGCCAACCCCATTTACATAAAAAACTAATAGGCAACCTACAGCCAACACAGCAGATAATGGCCATTTCATTGTTTAAGTACACTGTTTACATTCTTATTGCACTAAGATAATTCATTGCAACCAGCCTACCCAACTATAGTGTTTGTCTTATCAATGCATTATTAAACATGAATTTTAAATGCAAAATACAACCACCATTTGCATTGAACTGAATGTATAGGTGAATACAAGGAAGCAGTCTACAAAACCTATATGCATGTTCAGCTCCCCAAAGAAAGTAAATACACAACATTAACAATGGACATTTTACTTGATAAAAGAAAACTACCACTTATAAGGAGATCATGTATACTATATAGGTCATGGGTAAAAGTCCAAAAGTGAAATAAATAGTCCAGTGCACAATATAGATCTCAAGAGTAGTTGGGCAAATAGTGCATTACATGTGTTAATGAAACAAATAGTCCCTACCCACATCTTCTCAGTCACAACCATCAGCCAAGGAATTGGTAGATCTTGGAATCCATCCATGCAAGCTGTTCACTCCAAGGATGCCAAGGATCTTTTTTTTTTAATAATATGCCTATGAGCAAGGCCCTAAACAGATCCGGGTTGGCTAACCTCTAAAATCCATGGAATGCTGGAAACTGACATGTGTCCAACATAGACAGCTTAGGAAAATCCACAGAGCACTGCTTGATAGCCACCTTCCACCAGTCCACTATTTAAACCCAGGTTTTTGCCTAAAAGAACATTCTTCCCAAGCTACCTGATGAAGGGTGATTTGGCCCAACCTAGCGAGAAGGGGACACGTAGACGCAACCTGATTAAGGGATGACAGCTCAGCCTGGCAAGCCTAGTTCGCAACATTCGAGCTCGGGTATTCAGCCACCTCGGCGTCGAGGCACCTCGGCATCCAATCCAGTTCGGAACTAAAGAATCGAAGTATCAGCTCGGGCCTAACAACCCGAATCACCACGTAATCGACTCCAGAAGTCTCTCCAACAGATCCCGAATCTCTCGAGAACACGATGAGCTAACAGATCCCGTCTTTTCCGATATCACGATGAGAACTCATCCCAGCTCCGCCAGAGTCGAAAGTGAAACGATAAGCCTTATCTACATATTGCTCCTTCGGAAGCGGAACGAACCCTGTCTCCACACCCCGGAGATCCCGGAGCTCTTTCGTGAGACCCACGACTACTCCAGTATATAAAGGCGGGAACCTCAAGGCAAAGGTACGCGTGATTACTCTACTCTCTAGCATTCAAGCTCTTAAGCACTCAACTCGCGATTACAGCATACTAACTTAAGCATCGGAGCGACCTCACCGGGTTAGCCACCCCGGGTTCTCTGATAGATTGTCTTGCAGATAGATCCAGCTCGCTGCTCGATTGGAAGCCAGATCGCCCTCCAGCTAGGAGTAGTTAGATCGCGCAACAACAATTGGCGCCGTCTGTGGGAAACGATCGAAAGGTCATCCCCATTCTTCGCAATTACCAACCTTGATTTCTATGGCAATGGCATCTTCCAGTCATACCGGGAAAAGCAGCGAGATGAAAAGTAGTCAGTTCGGCGTGAGCTTTCCGGGAAGATTCCTCGGCTCCGAGGGCCCGCTTCAAGTTTACCTCGGACTGATAAGCCAAGGCGTGGATGGTAGAACTCACCTGCCAAGAGAAGAAAACAAGCGTCAGTATACAAAAATCCTAGTACAAGACAGATTGAAGAGACAAGTCCGATAACTTACCACCATGTGGTGAGTAGCCGCTCGGGCTCCGAGCTGAGCAACTGGTAATTCAGCCCAACTAGCAAGCTCCTCAGCAAATACCGCGCCCTTGCTCTTGAGAAGGCCAAATTTCGGAGTCAAAATACTCCGAACTGCGTCGTCGCTGCCCGAAGAAGCAGCAACTGCAGGGACGGGCTCCGAAGACGTATCCTCCTCGGGCACGCGGGGTGGGGAGGGCATGCCCGAATCCTCTTCGACCAGATCTATCACAGAGGCTGATCGGCAGTTGATGGCTGCTCGGACTCTGGAATGGCAACTGGTGGGGGCTCAACGTGAGCCTTCTTGGTGGCTCTTTTCTTCTTCCCCTTCTTCATGCTCCCAAAGAGTTCGTTGGCGGGGATGTCCATGATAGTTGCGACAAGAAACGAGCTGTCAGATGCAGTACCGAAGTAAAACAAAGAGAAAGTACAGCAAACAGCGACCTACCAGGACTCAGACCGGCCTGCACAAGCTTCTCCTCAGTCACGAAGTCTTCGAACGTCAGGCCGAGCTCCACCCAAGATCGGAGCGCCTCCCTTGTCTTCAGGTCCAACCTAACACCGGGGTCCTGGATGGCTACCCTCCAATGGGTTGGGAAAGGCCACCCCTCAGTGTTGCGAACCACGAAATAGCACCTCTTCCAAGCCGAGACCTTGTTAGGGAGCTCATGCAAAAGTTTAAAACCAGGGCGAGGTGACAAATAGTAAGTTCGTCTATGCTCGGGCAAAACACAAGAATTCTTCTTTATGGAAAGAATAGAAGAAAAAACGTCGAGGTTAAGGGGAAGATTGTAATCGTAAAAAAGTGAAATGGTCCCTACAATATTGCGAATAGAGTTCGGGTGTAACTGATCTATGGTGATATTGAACAATTTTATAATCTCAACTATGAGAGGGTGAAGTGGAAGGCGAAGACCAGCTGCGAGCTACTCCTCGAAGATCACGATCTCGTCATGACTGTGATCCCAAGGGAAGTTACCTACGGGGATGTTGTACACAAGGTCATTAGGAAGTCTGTACCGAGCTACTAGGGTTAGGAGCCTGTCCGCCGTCATTGTCGACAGGCCGAAGTTATCTAGTAACCGACCTCGATGTGAGGTGGAAGCTAGGTTACCTGAGGCCTCTCGCTCCCGCCGAGGTGAGTTCACCTCGGGAGGACCGTGGACCGCATCCTGGCCCAAAGTAACCTCCTCGGTAGGACGAGGATCCACAGCCTGAGCCGAGGTACCCACCTTGGCTCCAGCGGATTCACCGCTTCCGTCTAAGAGACTATCAAAACTAAAGCTAGACATACTAAAGACACGGAATAGAAAAGAAAAAGCAAAAGGAAGACTCACCAAAAGGAAGACCGAAGAAAGGAAAAGCGACCTCGGAAAGACTTGAATGCGACCTCAAAGATTGCGGATTAGCGAACTTGTGGCGAGGAAAATGAGCCCCTTGGCCCCTATTTATAGCCAGTGTATACGGGGATCAACGGTCGAGATCAACACGATCCAACGGCTCCTAGGAAAACCGGTTGCACAACCCCGAGGTTGAAATCGATTTAGCGCGTACTTTGACGTCCACAGAATTTATAAAACGGCGTGACGTTCGTGCGTAACGTAGACACAACCTGGGTTATTCCTAGTTGAGTCGGGCGGTCGAACAAGTCCGACCAACGATCCGCCCATCAAGCTGCCTAGACCTCGTGCCAAATCCACCTGGACTCGTCATGAACTCCCCGCACCGGGTAGAGACCCCTGGCTCGGGGAGTGGGGGGCAATTGATGAAGGGTGATTTGGCCCGACCTAACGAGAAGGGGACACCATGGACGCGACCTAATTAAGGGATGAAAGCTCAGCCTAGCAAGCCTAGTTCGCAACATTTGAGCTCGGGTATTCAGCCACCTCGGCCCAAAACTCACCTCGGCGTCGAGGCACCTCGGCATCCAATCCAGTTCGGAACTAAAGAATCGAAGTATCAGCTCGGGCCTAACAACCTGAATCGCCACATAACCGACTCCAGAAGTCTCTCCAATAGATCCTGAATCTCTCGAGATCACGATGAGCTAACAAATTCCAACTTTTCCAAGATCACAATGAGAACTCATCCCAACTCCGCCAGAATCAAAAATGAAACAATAAGCCTTATCTACATACTACTCCTTCGGAAGCAGAACGAACCCTATCTCCACACCCCGGAGATCCCAGAGCTCTTTCGTGAGACCCACAACTACTCCAGTATATAAAGGCGGGAACCTCAAGGCAAAGGTACGCATGATTACTCTACTCTCTAGCATTCAAGCTTTCAAGCTCTTAAGCACTCAACTCGTGTTTACAGCATACTAACTTAAGCATCAGAGCGACCTCGCCGGGTTAGCCACCCCGGGTTCTCTGATAGATTGTCTTGCAGATAGATCCAGCTCGCTGCTCGATTGGAAGCCAGATCGCCCTCCAGCTAGGAGTAGTCAAATCGCGCAACAACACTACCTATCTCAAAACAGTTAAAATTCCTTACTAATGTTACTAAAAGCTATTTGATGCTTCATCAAACACTTTTAACACCACATAACAAAGAGATCAGATGTTTTAATCAAGGGCCTACATGCAACAATTATTTAAACCAATATTTCATCCACATTCTAGATTCATCAACAATTCAGTATTCTTCTTTCATGAACATGGTAAGGCACATAAAGGCCAAAAAATGATCATATTAAATAAACAAATGAAAAGGCATCTAACCTTGATGGCTGGACTAGTACCAGTTCGTGCATCCCATAGTATAAGGCAAGAATCATCACCTACACTACAGAACTCCTGCACACTTCAGCACAATTAAGGCAAAGTTAGCAACAATATAACATACAAAGAAATTATGAATGAGATAACACATTCTATAAAATTTTGTTACAAGTATCTCCATATGATATTGATGCAAGATTGTGGACATGTTTTGTCCATATACGTGCAAGAGTGTGGATTAAAAGGTAACAAGATTTTTGATGCCCCTCATACAAAACATTCCAAATGAGATTGAAGCATAACCTAGGTTGCCCTTGCCTTGAAGTATAAGGAGATTTCCAACTTATCACCAGATTGATGCAGGATGTAAAGGATCCTTGAACTCTTTGTTACAACATAAGGGAAGCTAGATTGTGGCCTGTAGCGTAAAAATCTCATTCAATGAGCAGAAAGATTATTGTATTTCCTAAATGTTTCCTTCTTTTCTTATTGGATCGGTAACTTCATTAAGCAAATTAAGAACTATCAAGTACAACTGTCAGCCCCAGAATAGGTTCTGACCCCTAAAGACCTTTTTTTACAATTCTGCCCAGAATAGCATTTCCCTCAATATCCCCTGTTTAGCTAAAGTATCAGCTAGTCCATTAACAGATCTTCTAGTCCATTTGAAAGAAGCCACAATCTCCTTTTGTTATGTTGGTGATCTCCCTTATAGCACATCTAAAAATCCAAGCTCCCAAGCTGCCCAATTTCATATTTGGTTCAGCCCCATCTGTTTGGCAAATCTCACCAGAGAAAGGGTGAGTGGGCAGGTTGTGTTCGAGGCCTGCCATGCCAGGATAGGTTTTAGCTTATTATTTTTTTTTCCTGGGGCAAGATAGTGACTTTGTTCCGGTGTGTTGGTTATTCCAGACTTCCAGTATGAAGGTTCTCTTTGTATTCTTTTTCCTCAGATGTCAACAGAACTCTCATTATCTGTTATTGATCAAAAAGAGCTCCATAAGTGGCACTTGGTACTGCCAATACAAGATTGAATAATAATTGGAATCATAACCATTGTGCATTTGATAAAGAACTTGTAAAACCAAGCAATGTGAAGAATCAGGAAAAAAAATCATTCCACCCATACACATTGCATTTGACAAGGAACATGCTAGCTACCTTGATGGACAGAACTGCACATCTTCAACAGTATCATCATGCCCATGATAGATACCACGTGGTCCAACAGCAGGGCTCTCTGCAGCTTTATCAGTAGCACCAACCTTAGAGGCATGTTTAATGCTTGAGCTCCCAGAACCTGGGGATTTTGTGTCTGCTGCTGAAGCAGTGATATGATCATGAATACTCCAAAGAACAACTGACTTATCTTTTCCTGTCATAGTAATAATAGTAACAATAATAATCTTGGTAAGAAGTTCATTGATTATTGAAGAAAAAAAATTATGCAATGCTAATACAGGAAAAAAGGGAAGGATCAATTTCAGTAATGTAGTATAGAGGACAAGGAAGCAATTGAAAGTTTGAAACCCCAAAGATGTCATCTAGATATAAGTTATTCAAGTAAAATCAAAAAGTTCCCTGATGCCTACTCATATCCCAGGTGCAATTTACACGAAAAAGCAAATAAGCACAAAAATAGGAACAAAAGTTCCATATCAAACAGAGTTACGGGCCATTTGATAACAGCTGAAGTAGCTGAAATGAATGGCTTGCTGGTTTGCCTTTTAGTGAATAAGTTATTAAAGGGGTTGTGAGCTTATTAATGGCTAAATTTGAAGTTGGGTTGACTATAATATTCTTGAAGAGTTTATTATTTAATTATTTTATCCATACATAAGACAAACCAACAAGGCATTCACTTCACTTCAGCCATTATTGAATGACCCCTTAGTAAGCTATTAATTAATAATTTAATAGTAACAATTAGTAACTATTAATTATAGTAACCATGTAGTAGTCACATATTACAACAAAAAAATGGAAAAAAAAGGACAATGATAAAAATGATAATAACAAAGGAATCATTGATGTGTATACCATGAAAAGAAAAGGTGAAGTCTAGTAGAAGAAAAAAAAGGAATTCCATTATGGCCACCATAAAATAACTAAGTTTCTACCTAACCGTGTAGTGGTCATATATTACAACAGAAAAAATGAAAAATAAAAATCTAGAACAATGATAATAATAATAATAAAAGAATCTTTGATTTGTATAGCATGCAAAGAAAAACTGAAGTCTTTTAATAAAATTGCCAAAAATATATTAAACTTCTAAGTTACATAAACACAAGTCCACCTATAGGTTACAAATCCACATTGACAAGGACTATCAGCAGGCAAAATTTCCATACCACCGGACAGGACAAAAGGCTCTGTTGGGCACATGGCAAGTGCAAATTCTGCATTGTCTTGATGCCCTGTCAATATCTGCAAAATAATGGGTTGTTAAAATTCAAAAGATAAGCATGATAATACAGCAATAACACCAGCCCCATCTTCTGGAATGAAAAACAAATTATAAGCCTTCAAAAATTTAGTCTCAAAGTGACAGAAAGAACCTGAAGTGAAAACATAAACTAAATTTTAGAATAAACATACCAGATCTGGACGAGAGTCAGCAGCTCCCAGTACAGCATGACGATTAGGTTGAGCCTCAACATCCCATATGAGAACCTGATTCACAAGTTTCATAAACCTAACCCACATCAAGTTTTGCCAATTTGGTAAAATCAGAAATAAGTCAAACCAATATAATTTGTTCATGCATAACCTACTTGCTAGTTGGTAAATTTAGAATGCTTACATCAGGACTATCGGTATGGGTGGCCACAATCTTAGTGTTCTTTGGCAGCTCCCTTATTCTGTTTACCTGCAGAATTGTAATAGATGAAGGACAGCTTCGTTAAAAGTAAAAGCACACAATAAATTAGGCATTTCTACACTCATGTCTAATTGATGAAACAGAAAACAGAAACATGAAATAGAGATTCATACCTCTCCAGGATGTATAATGGTTTTAAACTTCTTTACAAACGGAGAACGTGCTTCTTCATTGAACTGCATAAAGTAATTACATTGATAACAATAACAACAATATGATACTTAAAGAATCAAAGACCGCCTGATAAACATTGACAGTGAAGAAAAAAGGCAAAGGGCTCAGAAGCGAAGATATCCTTTTTTTTTCTTTTGTGTGTGTGTGTACGTGTGTTGGGGTTCAACAATCAACAGAAGCATGGAAATTAGATAATGGAAACCTCACCTGTGATATGTGCTCCGCTGCAGCAACCCTTGGTTTTACAACTTCACAATTTGCTAACACAAGAGTGTTTGGAACACTACCATCAGTCTGAAAAAATTTTTAACCAAAAAACATGCATCAAAAGAAGCGTCTAATATTGTCATGACAAATGCATGCAGTAATTTACAAAGTATTGTGCATTTGTGTTTTCCTTCTCTTCTTTGGGATTGGATCTTTTGGTGCATATACATATTATAAGTTATAACAGTAGAAATACAAAGACTATTCACATCAAAATCAATAAAAAATAAAGCAAAATGTAAACTTCAGTGCCATCAACAAGTGTACCACCACTGTATCGTGCTGTACTAAAACATTTAACAAAAAACACTTAGATATTTATCTAACGCAATATAATATAGAGTTCTAGACATTTTCACACTATTTTCAGAGACAGTGCTATCAGAGGAAAAAAAAAAAAAAAACTGACATATGGGACCCCTAGGGGGAGCTTGGTTAACTTGATCTTCTGGTGTGTCTTCAGTGATGCTGAAGGTCAAGCATTGCAACCTAGCATTCTCTGCAAGCATTTCTCTTAGTGAATACTGCTTCCACAACTTTGTTTTGAAACAACTTGTTGATAGCGATGTCACTATGGGGGTACAATTGAACTTTACATGATGCATGTATTGAGAGTAAAGGCACTACGCCGTATTATTTTCTTAAAATTATGAGCTTTTTTTGTAAAAGAAATTTATGAGCTTAAAGTACTACCAAATTTAAAGTAGTTTCTAACAATCTACAGTGCGATTCTACAATGCACATGCCAAGGCGTATCCAAGCCTACAAGAACAAGGTGGGCCTAAGAAGCATGGATTGCACGCAATTAAGAATCAAGACCAAATTTGTGATCACATCAAGACGACTTGCCTGTTCAGAAAGATAAAGACGCTGGCGATTCTTGTAAGTCGCCTGCTCCAGTTGTGGACCCCACCTATTACATCAAGGACAAAAGAAAAAATGACGGTCAGCAATGGCACGTTGACGCTTGAGCTGCATATATTTCGAATGGTTCAAATCGAAAGCACCCCAGCTCGGATTTAAGACAAACGCATGAACGAAGAACCTGGGCCTAGGTCGCAGTTCTAAGACCAGGCAATGCATCAGTCAAAAAATTAAGCAACAAAAATGAACCTCACGTATCCTTTCAGCCAATGAAAATACACATAGCATAACCAATAGAAAAAACCCAAAAAAAAGTACATTTGGAAGATCAAAAAGGGTTTATTAGCTCTTCGGCTGGGATGGACAGACAAATGAAATCACATGAACCCTAGATAGAAATTGGGAGTGGTGCACGGAGAGAGAAAGAGAGAGAGAGAGAGAGAGAGAGAGACGAACCGGCAAGAGAGAGAAGGCCAGACGAGGTTGTGGTTGGCAAGCCAGTCGTAGAGAATGGGAACAAGGGACTTCCACTGAGTGTACCTTTCATCGACTGATGGCTGTCCTGCTTTCCCTCTCTCCTTCATTTTCCCACCTGCTCGGCTGCTCTCACTCTCTCTCCCCTTCCTCCCTTCCCTCCTTTTGTTTTCCCGCTCGCTCTTCTCTCTCTTCACGCTAGTCTTAACTCCACCGTGACAAATGCAGATAGGTCGTATTATGTTTACGTTTGTCGGGCTTCTTATTTTAGGTAAAGTTTTGGTGACGCGTAGACACTGACAATTGACAATAGCTTTGGGATCTGCTCGCCTCACAGAACATCTCACCGTGCATTGAAAACATCTCGCGTAAATAATAATAGGAGATGATTCCAATGCACGGTGGATGTGACTGTGAGATCGTTGTGAAGCGCTATGTGTGAGAAGCAGATCCAGTCTCCGAGTGGGACTGAAAGTCTGAAACCCCTCATTTCTGACACCGAAAAAAAAACGACAACAACAACTAGGTGCAAGTCGGACGGACCAAACACACAGGGTTATAGGATTGGCCCGATTTCTCTACTTACTTTTTGACAAATATCTCTTTAATTATTACATTTTTGCATGTCACACAAACACTTGCATATGCAAATCAGGGTATATGAATACTCCGACGCTTTGATCACAAACAATCAGAACCTAAGTGACATTTTGAAAAAACAAACAAGACTAAGCTGATTAACATTATTAAAATTAGGGGGGCAGCCATTTTAAGGGTGATCTAATTACTAAATAGGGTTCAATTCAATTTCTTGTTCTTTTTTTTTTTTGTTTACCTGATTAAATTACTATTAGGGATGCAACTCGGACTGCTTGTGGTGTTTAGATATCCATTTTGAATTATAAATTATTAATATATTTTTTTATTAATAGATTTGCAACATCTAAACTGCAATAATTACATTAAGAGATATATTAGTATTGGTGAATTTTTCTTTCATCTTAACTCTAAATGCCTATGATATTGTTCTGAATTCTAAAAATTATCAAATATCCATTTTGACCCTATATATGAGAGTTTTTGTTTATACTTTTGAGAGTATCATTGATAAAAAAAATTGTATGATTGCACTTTAGGTTGCATTTGAATGTGTGAATGCTAATATGTAGAGTGTAAAAGGGTTCATATAAATTACAAAATTGAGTTAGTTTTGCACTAGCAAATTAAACTTCTTACCAAACAGACTTTTAGCTGTAATGGATGCAAACATGAATTCCAATAAAGCATATGCTTTTTTTTTATCAAAAACTCGTTTGAATGCAAATTTACTTATTTTTTTTATGTATTTTTACATCTTATTATCAATGTAAAATTGCATTGATTTGTCATTTGTCAATGCATAAATGTGATGTTGTCAAACACAAGCAAAAATGAACCAAAGTGCAAATTTATCCTGAACCATGATTTACACCCTATTTACATCGTTTCCAAACGTAATCTTAAGAAATAAGAGATGAGAGAAAACGAACACTAAATTTTCTCTTAAAATTAAAAGATTCCTCTTAAGAGATATGAATTAAGAATAAACAAATAAATCATTGATATCAAATTATTTTGAATTAGAATGACAAATGATTGATTTGGTATGTTATTGCAACTTATATGGACAAAATATTTCTTAGATAGAGTATTTGTATCATCGTGTTACATACGTGCCGTGTGTCTCTTGAGAGACATCGGATAAAATTAATGGGCCCTCTTTTTGTTTTTTCTTTTCCTTCTTCCAACCAGAGGATGCAAAATAACGGTAATTCTAAACCCTGTGTTCATGATTAAATAGCCATTCAGGTGTGAAAACGAGCTTAATACAAAGCCAATCTAGCCCCAAAAACCCGGGGTGAGGTAGCACAAAAGGACTCCAACTTTGCCTTGAAAGCTAAAGCATGAGATAGATGTTGATTCCATCAATCCAACATCCGAAGTAGGGGGGTGTTCATCATAATCGTGTAGACCGCAAATTGAAAATATTAATTGGTGATTTGATTTGATTTGAGAATTCTTCAAACCGTGCCTCTTTAGTTGGTTTGGTTTTTTATATTTTAAAAAACAAATCAAACCGTAAACCATATTAAACTGAATTTATTAATATACATAATATATATAATACATATGTTTATGCATGAATGTATTCATTTAGGTGGTGTTCGGTATCGTGGTTATTCACGATATATTGCGTTTCAAAACACACTACGGCTCATTTGCACCATTCAGTTCAATATGGTGTGTACCGAATCACAATTTCTCATGGAATAGTCCACATTATATCGCAAAATCTCATTCACGGGTAAGAATTGTGGATTGTTTCACGCAATGGTTGAAAATCTCTAAGAGCCATTGATTCCCTGTTTCGCCTCATTATTCCATCCTAAGAAATATTATTATTGTAGCTCTTTTTTTTGAGGAAACCATTGTAGCTCTTGCTCCCCCTTCGGTCTGCCTTGCCACTAGAAGAAGGTGGTGAACACCAATCAAAGTTACCCTAGTTCATCAACTATTTGAATAGATGTTCATCTGGATTTTTTTTTTATCATGGATGTTTATTTGAGATTGAACCACTGCTATCTTGTGTCAATACATTGAACGGTCGGCCCGTTTTGATAGAAAAAATAAAAAAAAAAAGTTGCCAAAACTATTGAATGGTTCGAACGGTTCAACCACCTAAGTCAGCGGTTTGTTGACCAGATCAACGTTTTTTGCCAAAATTCATTTTTGGTGAAAAACAAAACCGATCACCTTACCGGTTCCCAATTTTTTTAGTTTGGTCATTCGAACCGGATGGTCGACCCGCTCTGACAGAAAAAATAAAAATAAATAAATAAATGGTCAAAATCGTTGAACGGTTTGAGCAGGGTTCAAAGTGTCGACACGTATCGGCCAATACATATCATTTTGGGACCTCTCCGATATGCCTCTACAGTGGGTGTATTAGGGATCTGACCGGTTCAAGGGGTGGAGGAGCCCTAAATCGGTTTTGAAAAAAATTTTAAAAAAAAGTAAAACAAAAAAGGTATTGATTCCCCTGATATGCCCCTATTGGCGTATCAGGCGTATTGATATTTTGAACCTTGACAGTTCAATTGCCCAAGTCAACAGTTTGCTGACCAAATCAACGTTTATTGGCCAAAATCCGAGTTTGGGGAAAACGAAACCAGTCACCTGACCAGTTCCCAGTTTTCCCGATCCGACCATTCGAACCGAATGATCAACCTGTTTTGACTGAAAAAAAAAGGTCAAAACTGTTGAATGGTTCGAACGGTTCAACTGTCGGGGTCAGCGGTTTGCTGACCAAATCAACGTTTTTTGGCCAAAATTTGATTTTGGTGAAAAACAAAACCAGTCACCTTACTGGTTCTCGATTTTTCTAGTCTGACTGTTTGAACCAAGTGGTCGACCCATTTTGACAGAAAAAAGGCGATCAAAACCATTGAACGATTCTAGCAGGGTTCAAAGTGTCGACACATATCGACTCATATCGGCCAATACATATCGTTTTGGGACCTCTCCGATACACCCCTACAGTGGGTGTATTGAGGGTATGACCGGTTCAAGGGGCGCAGTTTAGGGGGTGGAGGATCCCTAAACCGGTTTTGCAAAAAGAAAATAAAAAAAGTAAGAAAAATGTATCAATACGCCCGATACACCCCTACTGGCATATCGGGCATATTGATATTTTGAACCTTGATGGTTCAACCGCCCGGATCAGCGTTCTGCTTACCAAATCAACGTTTTTTTGCCACAATCCGGTTTTGGCAAAAAACAAAACCGATCAACTAACCAGTTCCCGGTTTTTTCTATAACGATTGACTCGTTCTGATAGACAAAATTAAAAAATAAAAAAATGATTAAAACCGTTGAACAGTCCAAATGGTTCAACCACCCGGGTCAGCGGTTTGTTGACCAAATCAATGTTTTTTGGCCAAAAATCCAATTTTGGTGAAAAACGGAACCTGTCATCACCTGACCGGTTCTCGGTTTTTCCTGTCCGATCCAGTTTTGAAAACCATGGAAAAGGTAATAACATTTAATTGGATAAATGTATATTTTATTATTTATTATTTTACATGAATAAATAGTATTAATGTCAAATTGTCAATAACTTCATAAAACAATATTAGTAATATTATTAATAATATTTTTATTAATTAATATGTTTTGAATATTTTTTTATTAATATTATTAATCATTCTTAATTATTAGTAATTAGTAACACTATTATTAATTATTATAAAATATTATTAATATTGTTAATATTATTTTCTTAATCATTAATTATTAATATTAATAATTATTTTTTATTTATTATTACTAATTTTAGTTAATATTAATATCAGTATTTGTTATTAAATATTATTAATATTACTGTGAGTATTATTAATTACTATTATTTTTATTTTTATTCATTATTAATTTTTTATAATTTATTAATGTTTTTTTACTATATATTACTAAAAACAAAATATTGTATTTTAATGATTAATGGCATAGATAATCTCACATGTTGTAGTTGAGATGCATGAAATCAAACACAAGATATGGACAGAAATATGCCACACCTTGCAGTACACACATTTTTGTCCATGGTGCATAACAACTATCATGTTGGGGTGTGGTGTATTTTCATCCACACCACACCTATCTGTGGATGAAAACACATCACCCGATTATTATTAACATTTCAATTTGATATTTGAAATATATTTGTTATTTATATAGACATGCATATTATTTGTGCTTTTCTAATTGGGTTAAACCCAAACCGTATCATTATGGTTTGGCTTGGCTTGGTTTCTATACTGAAATGGTTTGGTTTGAAAGGAAATCTCAAATCGTAATTTACTGATTAGATCTAAAATCTTTTCCAAACTAGATCGTAAACACCCCTAATCCATGGTACTCCGCCCCTCTCCCTCTATGAGGTATTTCTCTTGTTTTGCCTCTTGGTTTTCCAAAAACCAAAACCCCACACCGTTTCCCTCCTATTCTTCACCTATTCACTACAATCGTCACTTTGCCAAATAATCATGGTTTTCAAAATCGGACGGTCAGACCAGAAAAGCCGGGATGACCAATTCCGTTTTTCCCCAAAACCGCTTTTTCCTCAAACTATTCACCGGCCAAATAATTTGGTCGCTACCTCCTTATTCTTTTTTATTTTTTGTCCTTGCATCATTTGGGGTTTTAGGGTTGACCCACTTGCATCCTGAGGGGTTGACTAGCCCGAGGATGTGAGCAAGCATCGTAAAGGAAAAGAAACTCTCCACATATCCATCAAGGATTGCAACAACTAGGCCTAGCCTAATTGCAAAGGCATCGACCAGAGAAATTGAGAACGCTCTCACCTACACCCCTTGAACCACAATAGGCCTTCCAACACATCCTTAATGATTAAACACAACCCAGCTTTGTCAGAGGAATCTTCAAAAGCAGCAATAACATTTAATATTAGAGGTTTTTATGATTCAGTACACCTAGGTGGAGGTAGGATTTTTTAGGGATGGACTGAATCCTACCCGTGGATTGATGCCAAATTCAGTCCAAAAATCCCTTTATGATTCAGTACACCTAGGTGGAGGTAAGATTTTCTAGGGATGGACTGAATCCTATCCGTGGATTAATGTTCGATACTATTTTCATAAAGACAGTCTCTGTCCCTGATATCTCATGGACAGCGATTGTCCCAATCCAAAATCTCGACAATGCTTGTACGACAAAAATGGGCTTTTGATATTATACATGGCATGCCCTATGTTTATGTAAACCAATGGAATCTATAATTTTCGTTGTAGTTTTAAATAATTCAAAATTTTAATGATGAGTTTAAAAAATGTATCAACAAAAAACATTTATTTTGTTATTTTAATTATT